AGAAAGAAAGAAAGAAAGAAAGAAAGAAAGAAAGAAAGAAAGAAAGAAAGAAAGAAAGAAAGAAAGAAAGAAAGAAAGAAAGAATTAGCTTGCTTTACAAACTCCATCTTCCTATTGTCTTCCCACAACTATGCCACCGGATCATGATTCTTTTGGCTTGAATTGCCTGATTTGTTTTGAAGTCACATCAACTGGTCCTAGTGAAGCAAGGTCCACTCAGCATAACTTTCATAGAATAGTTGGCTTCACAGCCATCTGCATCTTCTTTGCTTTCTTTAATTCAACTCACTCTAAGTGAAGACATGGAGAAGTCCTGCCCACTCCTTTTCTGCCCAAATCATGATAGAACCACAGAGTGTTAAAACTGGAAAGGAATTCAGAGGTCATCCAATCCAACACCCATCCTCTTCCTCTCTGACAGATGCTTTTCCAAGATTTATTTAAACCCTTCCATTAAAAAAAGAGACCACCCCCCTCCAAAGGCAACCAGAATCAGCTTTTCCTATAACTTCTACCCATTTTTCCTTTACTTCTGACCTTTGGAATATCAGACATTATGGCTGCTTTGTCTGATCATCCTGTAAATATCTGGAGACTATTGTCACATCTTTTCTCTTCTCCAAGCCACACAAATGATGACAGGGTTCAATCCCAAGAAGATATTTAAATAATTATCTCCCGCTCTGCAGAATTTGGATTTTTCGTGCTCCGATTTACGACGTGATTGTTGTTTGCGGTCCAGAGAAAACAGAACTGCGGCTTGTTTCCCAACCCTGTGCCACATTTATGCACACACTTTCCTGGGAACATTTTTTATCCTTCCTCCCTGCTCTGTTCACCCAGGCGGTGCAATTTTTATTTTGTTTGGTTTTCTGGCAGGAAATGTATTCACAACACTCTCTACCTGTTTGCTGAGGTCTTAAACAAAGATGAATGGTAGGTTTTTGCAGCAGTGAGCCTACCGAGCACAAAAAAAGTGCTGAAGGAGGGCTGGCACCCCTTCCAAGTGATTAATCGTCTTTGCTGCATAATTTCCAGGAATAAATATCTAACCGGGAGACAAGGTGATGTTGTGAATGTGGCAGCCAGCCTGAATCATGCATGTCATTAGCTCAACCTGGCACGCAGTCCAGCTCGGTAGAATTTCAGGCGTCCGTTCAGGGTTTTGTTTTCGAAACAAAGGACTCGCCTTTTACTCCTTTGTGCTCTGAGTTCAGCGACAGAGTGATTTTTATCCTTAATATCTATAGGACTGCACTCAGTGATTTCATCCCAAGGCTAAATCCTCCAAAAGCTGGATGGCTATTTTTCGAGGGTGCTGTAACAGCAAGATTCCTGCGCTGGGGACGTTACGTTGAGTCAGGTTTTATCCAAGGCACTTTCTGGCTATATGTTCACTCCAAGTATCAGGTTTTTGAATCACAGAGGATTTCTTTTTGACTAAGGGCTGTAGCCATTCTGTACAAGCAGGCTCACCGAAATAGAAACAACATCATTATTTACTGCAGTTCTGGATACCTTTCAGCTGTTTTCTACTTCAACTCCCACGAGACACCAATGGCAGGGATCTTCTGGAACATTTGAAAGACACCAAGCTGCCTATGAGTTCTTTCCGACCTATTCGAAGCTTCTTGCCCCCAAACTATCTTGTGAAGTAGATTAAGCTAACCTGGCCGTCTAGATGAGCTTTGAATTCCAGACCTTTTCGATTTCACAGCTACCGTTAGCTGTCAGTTGTATTGCCACGGATTGATATCCTCAGGTCTGAGCCTTTACTAGTCCGTTTTAGCCCAATTATTAAATTAGAAAAGTGATCGAGTTCCCTTGGACAATTTCAAGGTTGTCTTTATCAGACCATGCTACCAGCAGATTCAGAGAAATACACCCATCGGCCAAGGAGCATTTTAGTTTTTGTTATGAAAGTTGAACGTGTTGCTTGCAAATGTTTTGGAAGGGGTTGTAAGTGCCAACTTCAAACCAGGCCCTACCCTTTTCTCAATATTATTGCTACAATGAAAGTACCTTGACTCTATTTTGGAGCTGAAATAGAACTAGTGCAAAGCAAAGCTAATAAAACCCTAATGTCCACATAGCAGTGAAGTTACCCACTGTATAGCACAGAAACTCATTCTTAATTTTTCACTGGTGCAATTATTCCATCTCTTAATAATAAGAGACAAAACCATCCTTCCTTCCTTCCTTCCTTCCTTCCTTCCTTCCTTCCTTCCTTCCTTCCTTCCGAACAGAAAAAAAGCAAGGAAGGTGACTGAATAATTCAAGAACTTTACTTTTTTAAGGGAAAGTTCACTTCCAGTTCTGTTACGCAGCAGCCTTTTTAAAAATGAGGCGCACAGAGATGCATGCAGGAACCAAAGGCGTCAACGTTTTTTTACACATGATTTGGGCTGGTGACAAATTGTAACCACATGGTTAATAATTCACATAAGGTGTATTCTAGGAGCAAACAGGGGGTGAGGGATGTTAAGTGCTGTCAATTTGCTAGGAGGTGAAACCAGGAGGGTTTGAAACAAGGAAGGGGATGATGTTCATAGAAAACCTATGGTGGGGGAAGAGAAAAACCTCAACTCTCTCAGTACTATGTGGTGTGAGTTTTATTTCTTTGTTGTCTGGTTTAGAGCAAAGGTGGACCACACAATGTCCCCTGGGGTGTTTGCAATATAGTCCTTTGTGCCTTTATCACTGATGGGCATGCCAAATCACTTGTGGGCATCAGGGTGCCTACAGAGTAATAGCTTAGCTTGCTAGCTGGCATCCAGTGGAAGCAGAGTCTTCTTACAGGGCCAAGAACATTCAGCAGCATTTCATTGCAAAGCTGTGCATCTTTTGACTTTACAAGCTGATCTTTGGCAACTTCTGGGATGGGGCAAGGGAGAGATCCTCCTTCTCAACCCCCAGCCCCCCATATGCACATACTTGATCGAAAGCAGTGGGCAGATCGGGTTTTCTTTTAAAAACCCACTCTGCTGAAAGTTTGCTTGGAATCTCAATCCACCAGGAAAGGCCCCTGCGTTAGAGCAGGTCCCCCGAAGTGCAAAGTTTCTCCTCTTCGCTTTGGAGAAGCGGGGCTGCAAGAGGAAAAGAGTTAACGAATGCAAATTGTTAAGTGGATGATAAAAGACAGTGTCCCCACGCGATAGGTACGTATGCACACATTTCACAATCTGAGAGGGAAACAGATGGCAGAGATGTGGCTTCAACAGGAATGTGACTATTTGGCTAACGCGCTGGCAGTGCGGTATTCCATCAGCAGAACGGAGTGGATGTTAAATCCCCTTAAATGGATCTATGGCTTTCCAAAAAAAAAAATCAGAATGGTACATGAGGCAAGGGCTTATACGCACGTCTCTCCTGCTATACTGCTTTCTTCAGCTGATCTGCCAGAAATTGCTTATAAAAGCAGGCACTTCAGGGTTTTTTTTTGGGGGGGGGGATAGCAAATAGTCATAAGCATATTCTTTATGAAATGACTTCCTAGTTTAACCCTGTTTAGAGGACAGAATTGTTATGAACTGAAAAACATTTTCTTCCTGGTCTCCCGTCCCCACCGTTCTCATTTAGCTTTGAATTAGCCCCCCCCCCCCCAAAAAAAAATACATTAGTCCAGTCCCAATGGATGGTAGGCAGGTTTCTTCTAGCTTCTTAGTTGAATGGAGGCTACGAAGTGTCTGCAAACATCGCATGTTGTGCAAACTTTTCTCCGGCATTCTGCAGCCTCCCTTTGGAAGTGAGGTCAGCCACCGGGAATGCCTCCAGGGGCCTTCTGCGGACCAGGAAGGGGAGAGGAGCCAGGGAGGCTGCAGTGATAGAGAGATGGGCAACAAAAATGTACCCATCCAGCAATCTGCAACCTCCCTGGCTTCCGTTCTGTCCCAAAGAAGGGCAGGAGGAGACAACTCTCTTTCCCATTGGGAAGCTAGGCAGCCAGCAGAGTAGTGGGAATGGTGTCACACACACAGACACAAACCTCAACGATAACTTCCACCACCATGTCCGAGAGAAAAGCCCCCCCCCCCATCCTTAAGCATCCTCAAAACGATGTAGAAAATCAGAGACCTTTTTTGCAGAGGAAGAGAATTTTTCAAGCAAAGGGAGGGCACAATTCAGCACTGTATCATTTCCTTACCATACCCAGCTTTGTCCCCTCTTCTTCACATCAGTCTTAATACGCTCACACGTACACATAGTGGTACAAGATACAAGCATTTTTTTTTTTCCTCTGGGCCTACATAGCATCTTCCCAGTGAAGCATAGTGGATCTCGACGGTAGGGATCCCAAAGGATCAGCTAGAACGGCCCACATATTGCAAGATCTCCTTTTGTCTTTCCTAGAATATATAGGAGTGATTGTCAAGTGTTTAGATACAGAGGTATCCTGCTGTCTTTTGACCCTTTGTTTTTATTTCTGTTGTTTTCTAAACCACTTCTCATTTTTCAGTGGACTCCTCCCTCCTTAGCTTGTAAATTAAATCAGTGCAGAGAATCCCCCATGCTAGTCCTTGTGGCTACCAGAAAAAATAATTTGGAACTTCTGTTCTAAACCACAGCTACTTCCTCAAGCGCCCATGAGTTGATCCAGGTTGTTTAATCCATCCAGCTAGTCCCCTACAGCTGATGTGAAGAGCACAAGGATGAAGATGTCCCCTTTTCCTTGAACCTGTGACTTAGTTAAATTGTTAGAAGGGCCAACTGGTAGCAAACTCGGCCACCCCATCCCCAAAACATTATCCTTCTCCATGGTTGGGCATCTGTAACTCCAACACCAATCATCAACACTGTTCATTCTGGCTAATGCTCAGCAACTCTCTTCTGTTTGCACAGAGCAATCTGGTGTTCATCCTCTCTAAATCAATCATGTGAGACGGTACCTCCCGTCTGGGCCGGCCTCAGCTGTGCTAATTCACCCAGATGGGGTTTCACGCATCATCCGCCCTGCGCGGTATACCTTTTAGCTGATGACCCAACCCGTGTCTTGCCTTAAATAAAACCTAGCAGCATGGCAGGGCGTGTGGCATCTTGCTGGGGCAAGGAATTGAGTCTCCCTGGCAGAGAGATTCAACTTAATAAAATAAGAAGTCCCTTTCTCCATCGGAGAGACACGTAGCTTTTGCCTGAAGTAGAAACCCATCAACAAGTGCAGCGGTGTGGAATGCCGGATCACTGAACTGTTGGGTTAAACGTATCATTTGTCACATCTGATCTTGTTTATACCAATTTGTCCTGCACTTGGGAAACTGTCAGCTAGAAATGTGACCTTCCCAGACAATTTTTTCCCCAAGCAAGAAGACAGCTGACTAGCAAATTACAAAGAAACCCCTCAACAAACATTCTTTGTTACAGAATCTTTTGCTTTGTTTCTGTTTTGTTTTCAAATCAAACAAGATCTACTTCACATTAGACAGAGGCCTCAGACACACATAAACTGAGTGTTAGAGCCCTCTTGGCATTAAAACAACAGCTAAGTTTCTTTAGGTGCAGAGTTATTTATAAATTGCAGCTGTGCGAATGTTTCCGATCATGGGTTGGCTATGTGAGTGCAATTGTACATTTTTAAAAGGTGTCCATAATAGTGGGGAAACGTTGGCAAGGGCCAAGGGAGGAAAACAATCGTTTAGTACTTGTACACATGTATTGAGAAGAGCTGGAACGAGGACTCGGGGATACGAGAACAAAGGTTGACCACTTTCGAATAGCGGGACTGAAAAAAAAGTCCCCAAAAATCACCAGCTGGTGGGAGGTTGGCAAGGAAGGGATGGAGAATGTCCACCTAAAGCAGTCCAATGCTTTCCTAAGCGGGTGTGCAGAAGAACAGTGTCTCACCTCTAGCAGCTGGCTCACTTGGTATGCCAAAAGGGGTCTGTTCTTCGTCAGCCTGTTGGTCTCGCTGCAGACAATTCCTGACCGCCTGCAGCTAGCGCTTCAGTGAAACGCTGTGTTCAGACACACACCGGCCCTCCTTGCCAGCGTCCATTACTTCGTGAGATGTCATGAATTCTGTTTGTGTGTTGGAAAGAAAAAAAATGCACACCCAAACCTTGCAAACAGAAACATGCAGTCTTTGTTCTAAACACACACACTAAAGATTGGAGCGACGGTCACCCCAGTTCAACATTTATGGCACAATCTTCTCGAAAACTGTTGGCACCACCATTAGTCTGCGCGATGCAGAGCTTGGGAGAATTGAGATGGGTG